TCCCTGGGCCCCTGCCGCGCAGCCCGCGCCCCGCGCAGGCCGTGACGCCTTCCGGGCCCTCAGGCGTCCGCAGTGTCTAGCGCGGAGGTGCGACTTCCGGTCCTCAAGTGAGGACTTCCGGTCCTCAAGTAGCCATGGCGCCCAGCGCAGGCAGGTGCGGACTTCCGGTGCCTCAATGATGGCGCCCAGCGCAGGCAGGTGCGGACTTCCGGTGCCTCAAGTGAGGACTTCCGGTCCTCAAGTAATGATGGCGCCCAGCGCAGGCAGGTGCGGACTTCCGGTGCCTCAATGATGGCGCTCAGCGCAGGCAGGTGCGGACTTCCGGTGCCTCAATGATGGCGCCCAGCGCAGGCAGGTGCGGACTTCCGGTGCCTCAATGATGGCGCCCCACGCAGACAGGTGCGGACTTCCGGTCCCTCAATGATGGCGCCCCGCGCAGGCAGGTGCGGACTTCCGGTCCCCCGAGTAGCCGTGGCCGCGCAGGGGACGAGGGACGGGGGATCCGACACACCGAAGGCGGATTCTCAGGACGCAGGGTTCCAGCCAGGCGGACCCTGCGGCCCAGGGGCCTGGGGGGCGAGGACCTCCCTCCCGCGGCCTCCCCTGTCCCGCAGCAGCCGCCCACAGACCCTCCCTTACCAGGGGGGATCCCGGGACCCCAGGCCCGCGCAAGGATGCCCACGATGCCCGCAGGCGGCCAGGTGGCGCTGGGGAGCACGGGCAGGGGGTCCCTGCGGGGGGGGGTCCCCGAGGTGTGATAGCCCCACGCCCGGGTCCTGGAGGCCTCCATATCCCCACCTCCTCCCTGTGACTCCCGGGACCACCCCACCTCCTTAGGACCCGGTGCAGGAGTTCACAGAAGTGGAGACGGGCCATTTCCGTCTCAAGGGGAGTTTCTAGTGTCTGATGGCACCCCTGTTCCTTCGGGGTGCCTTGTGCCTCAATTCAGTCATGACAGGGTGCAATAGGAAAATCACCCTGGGTTAGCCTGGGACCTGAAGAGGCTTCAGAGATAAACAGGAGGGGTTGAGTGTCTGGGGCTGGGGGTGCAGGAAGGGGGGCTTCAGGAGGACGCAATGGTCGCCCAGCTTCTGAGCCTGGGAGTCTTTAATAGACACCCCAGGCCACGCGGGTGAGCCCCCACTGACGGCTCCCCTTCCTTCACCCCCCCCTCCGCCTCTCCCACCTCCGTTCTCCTCCGAAAGGAGGAGATGGTGAGGGTAAATAAGCACATGGACAGCTATAAGGACCCCCTCTCTAGGGGTGGGGACTGCCCTCCTCTGCTTGCAGGGAGGTAGAGGCAAGATTGGAAATCAGGCCTTCTGACTCCAGCCAGAGAACCCCACGGGGCTGTGGTGGGGGTTCCGGGGGAACACGGAGACCACGTGGAAGGGGGCTTCCCCGTGGAGGCCTTCTTCCCGTTCATCTCTGTTCACGGCCTCTGTCAGGGTCACAGAGGAGTCACAGGGTCCCCAGAGCTCGGGGTTCCGGGTTCCCTGAAGGTCCCATGGACACGGTGGGGGCCTGAGAACTGTGGACTGGGTTCTCACCTATGGCTGATCATTCTTCACTCCAGCACTGGGGACTCTGCCTCTTCCTATGTTAGCTCAAGAAAATAAGATTTAAAACAACTTTAAAATTTGAATTATTTTTTGTTACTTGAGTTTGAACTCAGGGTCTTATGCTGGCTTGGCTGGTGCTGTACTACTTGAACCATGCCTCCAGCCTTGCTGTATGACAGTTATTTTGGAGATGAAGACTTGTAGACCTTTTTACCTGGACTGGCTCCCAACTGTGATCCTCCAGGTCACAGCCTGGAGGAACTAGCATGAAAGTCGCCTGTAAATTTAGAAATCAACCTGAGGTTCACAAGGCTAGCTGAAATGCAGGGGTTCCAAGGAATTCGCAGGATCCTTTATCCGTATTTGTTCTGCACACATCACTTTTTCTCAAGTTTTTAAGGGTAAATCACATGTGTCACCATCCTTTCCACTTAAATACACACTCAAATATATGTATGTGTCAGGGCTGGGGATTGTGCTTTATGTGATTGCAGTATTCTCAGTCTCCATTCATAGAACGCCTTCATCCTACAGACTGGCGATATGCCGAGTTTATCCACCGATCCAATCAATGTCCTTTACAGCAAGCCTTTCCTCGCCGTGTAGCACAGGGTCTGGTGTAGGGACAGACAGTGCATCCCTGCACTGGATTGTCAAGTGTCTTTTGCTCCAGGAACCTGGAATATATGCCCAGCATTATTTCCTTGTCTTTTATGATACACTTGTGTAGCACAGGAGAGCCTCTACCCCCCTTTAAAAACAACGTTCCTCATGCTTATCTTGTATGTTTGAAGTTATGCTGGGACTCAGCAGAGATCACAGTTTTTTCTCCAGCTGCTACAGCAGGGGGCCAGTGTAGAGTCAAGTGTCTGTCATAGGTCGAGCTGCTTCTGCCTCTTCTCACCCCCCCCTCCCGCCCCGGTACAAACAGGGGACATCAGGTAGTGGTTCTCTTTCAGAGATAGGGGGACTTGAAAGAGCCTCCAGGCTTCTAGCAGGAAGGCTGATTTTAGGCCTGGGTGATGCTGGCGATTCCCACACTGTTCTAACTCCCTTTTCTCCATCCTGCCTGCCAGCCCCATGCTCTAAACCCTTCCCAAGGAATATTGGGGGCCGGAACAGCCTACCTTTTACCTCCTTCCTGGATTGGCTACACAGAAAAAAAAAACAAAGCACTAATGTATCTTGTGGCAGGGCAGGGTTTGGAAAAATGGTTGGAAGGTGCTTTTATGTTTGGGCCACTTTTCTACCCTTGGACCACTGCTAACATGCTGAAGTTCCAGGAAAGGCTATTAGGCGGTATGCTGCACTTGGTGACAGTGCATGCAATCTGCCTGTGACTCCACCAGAAGGGAACTAATTGACATGAGCCAAGAGTTCCTTACAGAAGGTGCTATCTGCCCACTTCCCTGGGGGTTCCTCCTTCTGTGCATCTGAGTTCCTTTCTCTCTGCTCCACGCTGCCCTGCTGATGGGCAGTCGGTATGACACGCTTGCTATTTTATGTCCTCTGGGGAGACACATCTGTGCATGTGTGTGTGTGTGTGTGTGTGTGTGTGTGTGTGTCTACATCTTCCTTGGCTCCTTGGTCAACACATACTTGTTCAAAGTGCTACAAGATGTTTCTGGAGAGGATTTATCTTGCCTACTTGACTCTTAAGAAGTTTCTCAAACACTTGTGGGTAATTACAAGCATTGTAGAAAACATGACATCAAAATGGAAACTTTTTGGGTGACAAGACATGCTTTGGTTATTTTTGACCATTGAAATGGCAAGATTGGAAATCCCTTTAAAATCATGCTTTTTTTTTTTTAGAACATTCTTTAAAAGGAAACTAACAAGATGATGATGATATTTTTGATGGCAATGACAAGATCCATGGTTTTGAAAGGCATTTGGCCTCTTAGTCACTCATGCTTGGAATAATCTCTGAAGCTTTTCTTTCTTTGCATGTATCATGATAAACAAGTCACCAGGATTTAGCTGAGTACCTGCCTGGTGAATGCAATGCCCTGAGTTCAACCCCCACCACTGCCAAAAAAGTTAAAAAAGAAAAAAAAGGTTTCTAGAGTGTGTGTCTGTTGCTAGATGTGCTGATATTGTGTCATTCCTAAGGTAAAAATTGTCTAAAGAGCATCCTCCTTTTCCCTCATCAACATCTCCCAACTATTTCTTGGCCATCCCTTTGTTATCAGTTGTCTGTATTAGCCCTGTATGTGTTGGTTAAAAATAACCCTAGGAATAATCACAGCTCATTGAGTAACAAAGAGGTGTCAGGCACGCCCTGTGCCTTGTCTGTACTTGTTACCATGGCTCTGTAATTGCTACTACTACAACTTTCTGAGCCATATCCTGCCCACTTTCTGTTTTGTGAAACTGAAGGACAAAAGGGCTAGATAGTTGGTATAAACCAATTGGTGAAGCCGACATTTGAACCCAATGTTGGATGCAAAAGTCCATTTGTTTTTTTTATTGCACTTTGTAATTCTCCTTTACAAAATTGAAGGACAAGGACAA